ATTGCCTGTTAGGTCCACTCCCTCTGGGGCACCTGGCATTGGCCACTGTCAGTAGACAGGATATTGGGCTAGATGGACCTTTGGTCTGACCCGGTATGGCCGTTCTTATGTTCTTAAGAAAAGAAACTATCAGGAGCTCCCTGTGCTGGCCCAGCTCACCCATACAACTCCCTCCTCTTGCTACACAGAAAAACAATGGGGATAAAAAAAAAAACAGATGTACAAGGGAGAGCTGAAGAATGGTAAATAAGTAGCACAGACTTAGGTTTGAGAGTTCCACTTAGCCATGGAGGGGAATCAGCAGGGTATTAACCCTGCTTTAAGCAGCATTAACACAGGGTCACATTTTCAATGGGAAATCTATGGGGTCTTGAGGGGAACATGGTATGGAGCGTGATTGCTCTTTGATTCCACGGCTCCTGCCCTGCTCTCCAGTTTCTGTAGAGGAATAACCCTGCAGAGCTTTAGTGGAGGAAGTTCTCTAGGTTCCTTGGGGAGAGCAAGGTGCAAATTCAGTGGTCTCCCATCTGGTCACATGCAGAAGCAGCAGGGAGGATATTACCCTAGATATTTATAGAGCAGCAGTAAAGCCAAGAGAAGGACTTTTTCATAGTTTTCATTAAATGTGAGGAATCCACCCACAAGAGTGAGGACAGCCACTGAGTCCATGAGGTTGGCTACACGGCCAGGAAATAATCCACTAAAGGAGATTATATGCGGCCTGAACTGAAGCTCCTAGACTAGTCTTTATCTAATCCTTTCTAATTGCCTGCTATGGTGGGCTTGGAGCTGCATGCCTATTGCTGACACTCTGGAGGATTCAGGGACAAGCTGAGAGCAGCTGCCAGCATAGGGCAAAGTCAGAGAATGAAAATTACCTCCTGCATTCCTATGTGTGACCGTATTTAATGAGCCACATATCTTTCCCCTAGAATTCCCTTATACAAAAGAAGAGACCAAGACCGGAAAGATGCAAGCGTAATCTGTGGAGACAGAGTTATTCAATATAAAGTGCAGGGCAAAGTGATGAGGAAATGGCATTTTGGGAAGCAGTTTGGTGCTGGGCTTAGAGCGCAGCATCAGGAGATTTGTGTTCCATTCCCAGCTCTGACACATTCACTTTGTGATCATGGAGGGATAAGTTGCATAAGGGCCAATCCTGCTCTATTGAAGTCAAGGAAAGTTTTGCCATTAACTTCAATAGTGCAGGATCAGGCCCTTAAGGAACTTGAGGCTCAGAGAGGTTATCTATAAAATAAGGATAATACCACCTCTCATAGGACTATTCTGAGGCTCAGTTGATTAATGGTAGCAAAGTGCACTGGGATCCTTGAATGTGAAATGGTAAGTATTACACTTACTGTATTGTGAGGTCTTGCGGCTCAATCCTGTGAGGTGCTGAGCACCTGCTCAATGGTGCAGAACCCTCACCTCCCACTGAAGCCACTGAGGACATTCAGTACCTTGCTGGATAAGGCCCTTGAACTGTCCAAACAAAAAACCTGACTTGTAGTTAAGTGTCACAGTGTGTTTCCTCTGGAAAGGAAACAAGAAGAGCACTTGGACTCTGAGGGGGCTCATCTTTTTTCTTTGCTTCATCTGGCACACGTTAAAGCTACCGTTAAAGCAGGACTTTCACCCAAGAGAGACCTCTCCAATACATCTGAGTTTAAGATCTGTTTACATGGGACATGGTTTTGAACTCAGTTCTCTTGATCCCCAATTATCAGTAGAGAGGAACAAACTCAATGGGATTAATTTGGGTTTTGCAAAACCTTATCAGGTATATTTTGTTTTGCAAAAGCCAAATCAGAGATTATTTGGATTGGAGTTCCAAATATCTGAATCCCTGGATTTTGCTAGGGGCAAGGAGGGTAGATAATAAGTGCTGGCACATCTCTAGATACAAAGTGATCATTTTATAGGCCCTAGTTGAGATTTTTAATATGGCACCTATCTTTATAAGGA